CACACACAAACAAAGACAGATAACAAATGGAAAATAAATATAGCCGCAAGACTGAGTTGCATGTTATAGATTGCCCAACATTAGAAGAATGAAGTTCTTAAGGGCTGATGTGGTGTGATTATCACAGCAAGCGTTTCCCTCCTCTCCATCCATGCGCAACTCTATTTTCAGCTTGGGCCTTAAAATAAAATCATCTAAGAGTTGCACATGGAAGGAGAGGAGGGAAACGCTTGCTGTGATAATCACACCACATCAGCCCTTAAGAACTTCATTCTTCTAATGTTGGGCAATCTATAACATGCAACTCAGTCTTGCGGCTATATTTATTTTCCATTTGTTATCTGTCTTTGTTTGTGTGGGGTGTGTGTGTGTGTGTGTGTGTGTGTGTGTGTGTCTGTGTGTGTTACTAACCCAACACCTATCCTGTTGATGGTGTTATCTGATGGATCTGAACTGGCAGGATTTGGTGAGTATTGCTTATAGCTTAGCTGTTTGCAGTTTTTTGTATGGCTCCCGAACAGGCCTGAAAGCAGGAGAAATTTCAGCAGGTGCTTCCATTGAAAAACAGAGGCCCCTTTCATAGATATTGGTAAAGCCAAGCTTCTGGGAGGCAATACATCTGTATGCTAGCATACCATCCCCAGTCACACCTACAGTGAGCCAATGCAAGTAAACAAACCACATTTTGTTTAATGTGATAGTGCAAACCAGGAATCCTGGCTTTTCTTTCTCTCAGCAAACTAAACCAAGAATAAACCCAAGTTTGCGACTCTGGCTTGCTGAGGGAGAGTGGAAGCAACACACAGGCCCCTTTTAGGCGCAAAGTAAAGCATTGGCAGGACAAAATAAAGATAGGTGTGCTATTTTTTTAACAAAAAGGTCTCTCTCTCTCTCTCTCTCTTTCCTCACAGCAATCCTGAAAGTTGTTTCATCAGTTCTCCAGCTTGGAAATATTGTCTTCAAAAAGGAGAGGAACACTGACCAAGCTTCAATGCCCGACAACACAGGTATGTCTGAGAAAAGCGGGCAGTTCAGTGAGGTTCTACTCCCCGTGGTGAGTTTTCCCCTGTAAATCCTTTGAAGAGAGGGCAGAGGATGATGCTGAGCTTCCAAGAAATGGCCCTTTGACTCTCTTTATTCCAGCCGCACAGAAAGTGTGCCACCTCGCGGGCATTAACGTGACCGATTTCACCCGGGCGATCCTCACCCCACGCATCAAGGTCGGCCGGGACGTCGTCCAGAAAGCTCAGACCAAGGAGCAGGTCATTATCCCAAGTCCCCCCCCCCAAATAGTCCTTAACATCTCGATGTCCTAGCCGGCCCACATTGCCCATTGAGTAGATGTGGATTTTATTAATCACACACACTCACACTCACGACGAATTGACCGCCTTTTTCGTAACAGGCTGATTTTGCCGTGGAAGCTTTGGCCAAAGCGACGTACGAGCGCCTGTTCCGCTGGATCCTGACCCGGGTGAACAAAGCTTTGGACAAGACCAAGCGGCAAGGAGCCTCCTTCCTCGGCATCCTGGACATTGCCGGGTTCGAGATTTTTGAGGTAGGCTCCCTCTTTCCCCTCGGAAATGCTTCTGGGGGAGGAGGGTTCAATCGGCTTTGGGAAGGAAAATTTCTCCCGGGGTTGGGAAGCAATGAGAGGCCAGCAAAACCTGGAAGTGGTTGGACAAGGGCTCGCCTCCCCCCCACACTTTGCCCCCCCCATTTTATTATGTTTTCTGCTCAAAGCTGCTTTCAAAAACCACACGGGCCGTGGGAAAGAAGGGACGATGTGAGTGTCGCAAGCCACGTTTTTCCAGATCCTTTATAGCAACGGCATTCCTGGATAAAACTTTGCCAGGTTTCCTGCTATTCTCTTGTCAAATCTAAGCACGCTCACACAAACGTTACCAAAAGCAGCTGAAAAGTACGGGCCACACAATCGATCACCAAAAGTAAAGCAGAGAGAGAGAGAGAGAAATTATGCACTGAGTTAGGTTTTTAGGCTTTTAAAAGGCTATTTAAAAAGCCCTTTTGGCATAATTTTCCAGGGTTCCCCCCCCCCAATCCTCTTATCACACCTTAGCCTGGAATGTAAGCAAGAGTTGATTCACCAAATCCCCATGGATTCAATGGGCCTACTCTATGGTGATTTACAGTACTAAGCTAACCAACACCAGTGGGCCTACTCTATTGTGATTTACTAAGCTAACCAATGGGATTTCAGCCCGTGAGCCGCTACTTTTTCAGGCTCTTGTAAGGAGGGTAGGGAAAAAGATATTTCAAAAGTAACTCTCTCGGGCATCTGACTAGGAACAGGAGCAGCTAAATCTGCTCTGTCTTTTTACCCCGGCTCATCGCAGGAGAACATCTTTTTCCATCCCGTTCTTGAAGAAGGCAGTATTTCCAAGCTGGGCACCTGATGGGGAGCTGGTGGTGGTGGTGGGATCGCCTCCTCTTCCACGCTTTCTCCACTCTCAGGCCTCCACGGGGCGGAGCGTTTTGCTCTCCCCTCCTGAACGGATCGTCATTCTCTCCGCAGATCAACTCCTTTGAGCAGCTGTGCATCAACTACACCAACGAGAAGCTGCAGCAGCTTTTCAACCACACGATGTTCATCCTGGAACAAGAAGAATACCAGCGGGAAGGCATCGAGTGGAACTTCATTGACTTCGGCCTGGACCTCCAGCCTTGTATTGAGCTGATCGAAAGACCGGTAAGGCTGCCGTGGCCCTCCTGCTCCGGAACACGAGTGGAAGAGCAATGAGGACATACCCTCCGAGTCGATTTCCCACTTTCGGCAACCCTTTCCAAGGTTTTTCTAGGCGTAGAGTACGTGGAGGTCCTTGAGGTTTACCCTTCCCTTCCTCTAGGGGGCGCCCTGGGACCGCTGTGCAGCTTTCCCAAGGCTCCCCAGGCTGGCTCTTCTCCCGAGAGGTATGTAGGGGGAATCCAGCTCTTGACTCCTGGCTCTGCCGTCCGAGACCTAACTCACTGAGCTACTCAGCCGGTGGATCTAGTGTGACTTCTATAGGACTTTAATTTCTTCTTATCAGCTTCAAAAATTCCAAAGAGGAGGAGGGGGGGGGAATAGATGCTATGATATATACGCTGACATGAGATACCCATGATGTTGTGAGCAATGCAGTTGCTTCTACCCAGGAACTGCTTTTCTTGTACACTCAATACATAAAATAAATCAGTAAATAAATTTGGGGGTACTGGCTAAAGGTTCCTTGAACCCTGTTCCAACTCTACAATTCTGTGGCTTTATGATTGGACAGCCCTCTGTCAGACCTTCCGTGGCGATGGAAAGCAAAGCCGAGCGATTCTCCGGTACCTGACGGTGATCTGTTGTTCCCCATTGCAGAACAACCCCCCTGGCGTCCTGGCTTTACTCGATGAGGAGTGCTGGTTCCCGAAAGCTACCGACACCTCCTTTGTGGAGAAACTTGGGGCGGAGCAAGGAAACCACCCCAAATTCCAGAAGCAGAAGCAGCTCAAGGACAAAACAGAGTTCTGCATCTTGCACTATGCAGGAAAGGTATGGGGCAAACAGACCTATTTCCTAGACCAGTTTTTAACTCCCTAGATGGTGCACCGCAGTTCCCACCTGGAGACCCAGAGTTGAGTTGCAGGCAGAAGCTTAGCATGTGATTCTCTTGAGGAATAGGAGCCGATTGTGTGAATGTGGCTGCAAAAAAGGCCAATGCAGTTTTAGGATGCATTAACAGAAGTATACAGTAGTTCCTTGGTTTACGAAATTAATGCGTTTTTTGGGAAGTTATGTAAAGTGAAAAATTTGTAAACCGGAACACAGATTGCCATAGGAACAAGGACGGCGTTATAAACCTCCAGGCACAATGCATCCTGGGGAAACTTCCTTCGCAAACTGAAAAAAAAAATCCCGGAGAAAAAAACGTAAATCGAGGCATTCTTTTCTACGGATTTCCATTCGTAAACCGAAAATTACATTCGTAAAACAATGTACTACTGTAGTTTCCAAAATCCCATAAGGTGCTAGCCTACCTGTATTCATCAGTGGCTAGGTCTCACCATGAGTATTGCGTCCAGTTCTGGACACCACACTTCAAGAAGGATGCTGACAAATGGGAACAAGTTCAAAGGAGGGCGACAAGGATGATGATCAGGGGGCTGGAAACCAAGCCCTGTGAGGAAAGACTGAAAGAATTGGGCATGTTTAGCCTTGAGACAAGAAAACAGAGGGGGGATAGGAGAGCACTCATCAAATACTTGAAAAGCTGTCTGATCACCCCCACCCCACCCCCCATGGATCGTCCACTGCGAGCTGATCGCTTCCGCATGTTTGTTTTTTTCCTGGAAGGTTATCTACAATGCAACGGCCTGGCTCACCAAGAACATGGATCCACTCAATGATAACGTGACGTCCTTACTCAATCAGTCCTCGGAGAAGTTTGTGGCTGATCTCTGGAAAGATGGTAGGTTTCTGAGACCTGCTGCCTCTCGCCAAAAGCGGTGCAACTCATGGCCATAAGAGACTGGAGTGCTTTGAAAGGGGATTAGACAAATCCGGTGCGGGGGGGGGGGAGTCAGGTGCATCCGTGGCTTCCCGTCGGGATGGTTATGAACCCGTTCTTGGAGAACATGATAGCTGCGCATGTTCATGACTCTCTGTCACTCCCTTCCCGAGGGGGCCCTTATAGTCATGCCCTGTTGGAGAACTTCCCACAGGAGTGTTTGGTTGGCCCTGGTAGGGACTGAAGGCTGGAGGAGAAGGGGCTCAGGCCCCGGGGGGGNCGTGGGGAAATCGGGCTTCTGGAAAGCTATGTGGGCTGAACGAACCGTGTCTCCATTGGGTTGCAGTGGACCGCATTGTGGGGCTGGACCAGATGGCCAAGATGACCGAAAGCTCCATGCCCAGCGCGTCGAAGACCAAGAAGGGGATGTTCCGGACGGTGGGGCAGCTGTACAAGGAGCAGCTCACGAAGCTCATGACGACCTTGAGGAACACCAACCCCAACTTTGTCCGGTGCATCATCCCCAACCACGAGAAAAGGGTCGGTGGCGCCGTGGCCCTCGGGATGGTTCACGGACTGGGCCCCGTCTTACTCTGATCCCGCCCACCCCGACCCTGTCCGTCCCTGGCGAAGCAGAGGGAGGTCTGCCCAAGCTTCCCCCTTCTCTCTAAGCTTAGCCGTAGCCCTCAGAGTAATGGAACTTTGCAAGAACATTGTGTTTTTTGCAAGTTCTCCTTCATGTCGTGCAAAATATTTCAGAATGGTTTGATTCTTAAATGGCAATTAAGAGCCATTCACTTTGCCAAAGATCCCCTCCTGCTGTTTATTCCTTGGACTGCTCCATAAGATAAATTTGCTAGTTCGAAAGAAACCAGAATGATCCTCCCTCTTTCCCTCCTTTCTTGTTTTATTAAAACAACCACATTTTTGAATACTGTGTGTGCTGTAACTCTCCAAGGGGCACAAAACCCAGTTTACATTTAGATCCAGTGCTTCCCTGAAGGTTTCAGAGTTCACTCACTCAGGTTCTGAGATGTGTTTTTAAAAAATTAATTCCACCTGAGAATTTTGCACCCACTTCCTGACTTTTCCCCAAAGAGTGTGGCGGTAACAGCCTTCTCCCTGCTTATTATTTGTTTTCACAGTCTGGAAAACTGGATGCCCACCTCGTGCTGGAGCAGCTGAGGTGCAACGGCGTCTTGGAAGGGATCCGAATCTGTCGCCAGGGCTTCCCCAACAGAATCCTCTTCCAGGAATTTCGCCAACGGTGAGAGAAATCGAGGCTCCATGAGTCAAGACACCAGCTTCACAATTAGAAAGGGACAAAACGTTTGGTTGTTGTAGGTTTTTTGGGCTGTCTGGCCGTGTTCTTGAGTTTTTTCTTCTTAACGTTTCGCCAGTCTCTGTGGCCGGCATCTTCAGAGGACAGGAGCCAGAACTCTGCCTGCGTTCTGGTGTCTTGTGTGGGATAGTTGAGTATTTGTAGCTGTGGGATCAGCTTTTTGTTATTTTCAGGTGATTGGGTGATTATGGTGATCAGGGTGTTTTTTTGTGATCACCACAATCACCCAATCTCCTGAAAAGGACAAAAAATCTGATCCCACAGCTACAAATACTCAACTATCCCACACACTACACTAGAATGCAGAGTTCTGACTCCTGTCCTGTGAAGATGCCGGCCAAAGAGACTGGCAAAATGTTAAGCGGCAAAAGAGAATGGCAAAATGTAAAGAAAAAAAACCTCAAGAACACGTCCAGATAGCCCAAAAAACCTACAACAACCATCGGATCCCGTCCGTGAAAGCCTTCGAGAATACATTGATAAAACGTTTTCCTGCTAGAGACACGTTCCTTTCAAACTCCTCGCCTCAGCAGTCAGCTTGCAAGTGAGGCAGTCAGAAAACAAAAGCAAAGTCGTTTGCAAGTCCTAGCTTGCAGACCTAAGAAAGCTTTCAGAAGCCAAGAAATTTAACCTCTCAAACAGGCATGGCGGTTGAGGATGTGCAGACAATATTGTCTGTTTTGACCCTGAGATTTGGGGAAGGGGCCAGAACTTTGAATCCAGGCAGCCACATGACAGAGCCCACAAAGCAACTGTGCTGTTTTATTTATAGGCTGCATTTCTCCCAAGGCGACTCAACAATATTACAAGATTAGAGTTTAAAACATAATGAGTTAAATATTAAAAAAACAATGAAACTATAGGCTAATTAAAATACAATTGAATCATGAAAAGCAGGTAAACATTAAAAACTGTTCGCCCAACTATTTTTCTGGAAAGATACCTCAGAGCAATTGTGTGCTGTTTTATTTATAGGCTGCATTTCTCCCAAGGCGACTCAACAATATTACAAGATTAGAGTTTAAAACATAATGAGTTAAATATTAAAAAACAATGAAACTATAGGCTAATTAAAATACAATTGAATCATGAAAAGCAGGTAAACATTAAAAACTGTTTGCCCAACTATTTTTCTGGAAAGATACCTCAGAGCAATTAGCAACAAGGAAATGCTAGGAATCAAGTCATTGAGTGTCTAACAGTGTGATAAACTATTGCGGTATTTTCTCCTAGCTATGAAATTCTTGCTGCCAGCGCCATCCCGAAAGGATTTATGGACGGCAAGCAGGCCTGCATTCTTATGGTGAGCAAAAAGGTTCCATTTGTCAGATTTCTGTCTCGCTTCTGGAATCCTTTTCTACCTGTGAGCTTTAAAAGGAGTGTGAAATGGGCCAGTGAGCAAATAAATAGGTTCAAAGTGTTCCTTGAGGTTTCCTGTGACTCACACAGGGGTGCGACATTTTTCTGCGGGTGCCTTGAATCCCCGCCTGCAAAGAGAAACTTCGACAGGGGTGCTTTTCACGGGGAACAGATGCCACAGCGAGGAAAACTCTGCTTTCCTCAACTTCTGCCCATCAGGCAGCTGATTGTGGCGCCAGAGCCCTGGCGGGGAAAAATATTGGCCGTCGTTGAGTTTTCAAGACTGTTCCGTGTTGTCCTCACCTCTTCCCTCCCCGTAGATCAAAGCGCTGGAGCTGGATCCGAACCTGTACAGAATAGGGCAGAGCAAGATCTTCTTCAGGACCGGGGTCTTGGCTCACCTGGAGGAGGAGAGGGACCTCAAGATCACCGACGTCATCATTGCTTTCCAGGCGCAAGCGCGGGGTTACCTGGCGAGAAAGTAAGGCTCCCTGGAAGAAAAGGGCCCTTGGGGTCCCGCCACAGATTCTGACTGAGGAGTAACTAATTAGTAGTAACTACTAGTAACTACTAATAACTAGTAGTTACTACTAATTAGTAGCAACTTATGAGTTACTAGTAATTAGGTCCTTTCCCTGGTGCCGATGGAACTAAGTTACATTACAGTTACAACTGAACAAGGGAGAATGCCACACCTTCTCTGGAACAATTAGTTCCTTCTCTAGTTAACAAGGATGTCGCCTCCCTAATTGGAAAAGGAGGAGAATCCCAGGGTTCAAGCACGGTCTTGTCACATGTTCCGTTGTGGGTGCGGAGGCGACACCAAGGGGGGTGGGGGCGGGAGAAGAGTCTGCATTGTGTACCTAATGCAAGGATTCCCCCCACCCCCATCCATTTCTCATTGTGCTTAAATCATAAAAGAACAGAAAGGGAGGCAAAATGGGCCGGTGGACCAAAACGAATGCCTCCCAATGAAGAATGAAAAACTAATTGAGCGAAGTTTTTTTAAAAATCGGGTGTGGGGGGAACGGGACCAGAAGACTAACCATAGTGGTTTCCATTAAATGATGGTTTTGTCCAGGAAGAGAAGCCAACAGCGACATAGGTCTCCACGTGCAGCCGCAGTCTACCTGTCATGCATTCAACTGCCAAATGCGATACCAGGTCCTCCGTCTGCGGGATCATGGAGGGCAGCCCTTCCCGTTGTCCGAATATCACCGATTCAGCCCCCGCGAGGGTCCATTTCCACGGGGGGGGGGCCTGGTCGACTTCCACGCGATGGGTTGCGTTCCCTCTCTTTGGTTCAACTTGATCGAAGAGGGAACCTTGTTTGTTCCTTCCGAGCGACGAGGGGCCCGTAGAGGAGGATCCCCTTTGGAAACGAGAGGCAGGGCGGCCACTCCCTTCGGTGGGAACTCATGACTTTTTAGAAGGTGCCGCTACTCCAGGCCCCTGGCGGTCAGTCGGTCAGTTGGTCGGTCAATCGGCCGGGGGATGAGCAGCCCCTTTGTGCTTGGATCCCCTCCAGGGCGTTTGCCAAGAGGCAGCAGCAGCTGACGGCCATGAAAGTCATCCAGAGAAACTGCGCCGCGTACCTGAAGCTGCGGAACTGGCAGTGGTGGCGGCTTTTCACCAAAGTAAGCCACTTCCCCCCCACCGCGCGCACCTGAGGGCCCGTTTCTGAATTACTGCCTCGAAGTTTCAGGGGCTTGGTGGGTGGGCGGACAATGTCGTGGTTGGGAGAGGCCTGGCTGTCCGTCAGTCTGTTTCTCCACCATCGTCCGCCGGACGGTTTGGTTTCCTTCTTCTAGGCGTGGGCGCTTTAGACTTCCAGTTCCCCCCTCCAGGAAGGGAAACTGGGCATCGAGAGGGTACAAGGCTCACCTCTTAGGCCCCTGCCCTTTTCGCTCTAAGGATGGGTGTTGGGTTTAAAGCCACAGATTTGAAGGTCCACCACGGACATCTAATCCCCCTGGCTTCCGTTGGCAAATCCAAGATGTGATTATGATTATTATTTTTAACCTGGTCTGAGTGGTTCTTTTGCGGTTGTTGGTGCTGAGCAGAGCATCGCTGGCAAAGGTTGGAGAAGTGACGTGTGGGATTCTTGGCTTTCAGGTGAAGCCGCTGTTACAGGTCACCCGGCAAGAGGAAGAAATGCAGGCCAAGGACGAGGAGCTCAAGATGGTGAAGGAGAGGCAGATAAAAGCAGAGAGCGAGCTCCGGGAACTGGAACAGAAGCATAGCCAGGTGAGGGGTGGGGGGGGCGGGAGGGGGAGAGTCTTGAGAAGGTTTCAGCCTTCAGCCCCTGAACCTCCCCAGCCCTCGAGAAGAAAACGGGGCAAGCGCTGGATGCTCAAACTCAAGGCACTTGGCACCTGTTATGGAACCAGGGCGGTGTAGACAACAAACACACTCAACACCTAAATTCCGGAGCTTGTATAAATCCTGCAGAGTCAACATGGCTGCACGTCTTTCCTCCCAGTTGGCCTGCTCTGGTTTGTGTTTGGAAGCCCCGAGAGGGGACAGGTATCCCGGTGAGTTGCTGGATCCCCAATCCCTCGGAAGCTCACCCCGGCACCCCTTCAGATGGGGCACTTCCAGGCCTCTCCCAGCAGCCCGGAGGGCTAAGACCTCACTTTCGGAAAATCAAAACGTTATCCCATAAATGCAGTTACTAAGGCTAGTTCCCTGTGCACAGAATGGTCACTCCACAGCTGGCATTCTCCATTTTCTGGGGGGCCTCTTCTGCATCTGGTTGCCCACTGTGATTTTTTGGACTGGGCATGGGGGGATGCTCTGGAAAATGAAGAAAGCCCATTGCGGGTTGTCATTCCCCATGCAGTGAATCAAATAAAGAAACAGCCCAGGAGTCTTGAGTCCATGCTAGAATCACTGAGCAGGTATAGCCCGGGGGGGGGGGCTTTCTAAGGTGACAGAAATCGAAAACGGGAGCCGTTCAAGGTGTGGATTGTTCGGGCATTTGGGATGAAGGCAGCCGTCCCTGGTAAAAGCCTCGGTCAGGTTTTCCTCCTGGCAGCGACGGTCCTGTTGTGTTTTCCCAGCTGATGGAGGAGAAGAACCAGCTCCAGGAACAACTCCAGGCCGAAACGGAGCTCTACGCGGAGGCGGAAGAGTTGAGGATCCGTCTGGCGGCCAAGAAGCAGGAGCTGGAGGAAATCCTGCACGAAATGGAGGCGCGGATTGAGGAGGAGGAGGAGCGTGGCCAGCAACTCCAGGCTGAGAAGAAGAAGATGCAGCAACAGATGCTGGTATCCAGATACCCATGGTCCCCTAACGTGGCTCTAGGCATGCCAGAGGCCTGGAGACATCTTCCCCAAGATGGGGAAGGGTGCCAAAAATCATGATCATAAACCCTTGGGAAGGGACGGTCTCGCTAAAGTTTGGAGAGGGAGGGGGGAAGAACTAAACGGTGGAACTCCCTGCCACTAGATCTATAAGAGGGGCTGCTGGTTTGGAGAGGGGCTATAAAAGGGGACAGGGAAGGTTCATGGTGGGGAGGGCCATACACGGCCCCTACTCAGGGCGTCGGTACACCGCTTCCAGGAGGAGCGATGCGTATCGTTTAATGGGAAGACAAGAGGCTTCATACTGGAGCAGCTGGCTGCTCAGTCCTTTGAACCGCATGCTGGACTGGAAGAGATCCCACAAGGATCTCCTTACCCTTAGTGAGCAAAAGTGTGGCTGGAGGCCTAAACAACGTGCCCTGCTCTCCCAGATTCCACCCCTCCCCCAGTCCTTTGGTCCAGCTGGGTTTGAGATGTTGTGGGAGACCCAGTGCTCTAGAGCAGCCAAGGTGGGGAGGGTGGTAGGCAAAGGGGGGGCCCGCCGTCACAGCCCCCCCCCTTCCTGGGTGGAACCCGTGCTCTGAGATTCACGGTTTTCTCTTCCCCCACCCCGACTCTCTTCCCCAAAGGAACTGGAGGACCAGCTGGAGGAAGAGGAGGAGGCCCGCCAGAAGCTGCAGCTGGAAAAGGTCACGGCCGAGGCCAAGATCAAGAAGATGGAAGACGACATCCTGGTGATGGAGGACCAGAACCAGAAGCTCTCCAAGGTGCGTCTCCTCCTTTTCCCCAAGAAGGTCAGAAACAAAAAGCAGGCCCACAGAAATCTCCAGCGGGCGGACTCAGAAGGGAGGCCACCACCACCACCACCACCACCCCTGGTCCCCAGGTCACTCCTCACTGGACAAAGGATCCGGAGCGCCGAAAAATGTTGCGGCTTCGGACCACCACACCCATCATCCCCCGGGCACCCTGGGCCGTCGGGATGATGGGAGCCGTTTTGCTCGTTTCGTCCCCGCCCCCTAACAAGCTTTTTATCCTGTAGAAGTAACCTCCTCAGGCTCTGACAGCATCTGGAATTTATTTATTTTTTCCTCAGCATTATTAGTATTTTAGATTTATATATCCTGTACTTCAAATACAGTATCAAGACAACTTCCAAGCAATACATATTTTTAAAAAGCCATGAAATACTTATACATCAGCAGAAGTCAACTGAACTGTCCTTTGCCGGTTCGGTTGGTTTTTTCAATCTCTGATGACAGATGACAGTCTGTGCTTGTTTCTGTCGGTTAAATCTGTCGTATGGTTCATGGGGGGCCCATTTTGACTGCATAGCCCACCCTCTGCTCCCGGGGCCCAGTCGGTGGACACACACGGGGGTTCTCCTAAAACAGCGCTTCCGAGCCTTGGTAAACCTAGAATGAAAAAAGGGACAGGGAGGCATGTGGTCCCCAAGATTGCACAAAGGCACGAGGAGGGGATACCTTTTACTGGACCACTTAAATATAAAAGAAAATAGCAAACTTTCACAAACAAAACCCACTTCCTCAGGCTCTGAGGGTGCCCTCATCAACCACGGGTGGCGAAGGTTTCTGAGGACTGCCATCCAAGAACACGTGGGCTACCCAAGGTTGGGAACCCTTCTAGGAAAAGACCGAAATAGGTCCTCTTAAAGATCGGCTGCTCTGCCTTAGGATGCTCGTTCAAACTCAAGTTGAATCCCGCTTTTGGACTCTCAGGAAAAGCTCTTCCATCTGTTCTCTCCCCCCCCTTTTTTTCTCTCTCTCTTTCTCTCTCTAGGAACGGAAGCTCCTCGAGGAGCGGATCAGCGACTTGACCACCAACCTGGCGGAAGAAGAGGAGAAGGCCAAGAACTTGACCAAGCTGAAGAACAAGCACGAGTCGATGATTTCGGAACTGGAGGTGCGCCTGAAGAAGGAGGAGAAGTGCCGGCAGGAGCTGGAGAAGGCGAAGCGCAAGCTGGAAGGGGACGCCAGCGACCTCCACGAGCAGATCGCCGACCTCCAGGCCCAGATTGCCGAGCTGAAGATGCAGCTGGCCAAGAAGGAGGAAGAGCTGCAGGCGGCCTTGGCCAGGTGGGTCGGGGTGTGTGTGTGATCCGCTCCGCTCTGCTGGGAACGCGCATGGCCCTTTTTCCTTGGTTGGAGCAAAATCTCGGATCTGGGTTGAGCTCCAGACCGTACCCACACACACACACACACACACAATGCAGCCTTACCCAAAACTACAGCACCTGGTTATAGAGCACCTGCTTTGTATTTAATTGTTGTTTGTTTATTTAAAATATTTTGAACCTGTGTGTGTGGGGGGGTTGGCTAAAAAAAGAGCCCATTTTGTTTATTTAAAATATTTTGAGCCTGGGGGGGGGGGTTGGCTAAAAAAAGAGTCCGTAATTAAAAACACACTATTAAGAGTGAAAAACAGCAAATCATTCAACAATTTGAAAAGAATTAAATAAACATTTCAGGAGGACCACGGTATCTATGGGGGATCGGATCCAAGCCCCCCAAAATATGCAGAAATAATGAATGCTATATACCTAACATGATCTCTCACACCCTCTATTGGCCAATTCTGATCAATACACTATGGAAATAGGTATAAATAGGTAGTCACCGGATCAAAATGAAGGTGCAGTTGGATCTAGTCAAGGTAATTTTTAATCCCCTGCTGCTGCTCCTCCTTTTCGCAGGGTGGAGGATGAGATGGGCCAGAAGAACAATGCGCTGAAGAAGATCCGGGAGCTTGAAGCCCACATCTCCGACCTCCAAGAGGACCTGGATTCTGAGCGGGCGGCGAGGAACAAAGCCGAGAAGCAGAAACGGGACCTCGGGGAGGAGCTGGAGGCGCTCAAGACGGAGCTCGAGGACACGCTGGACAGCACGGCCACCCAGCAAGAGCTCAGGTAAGGGGCGAGGCCCGTAGGAACGTGGCATCTCGCTCCGCGTGGTGGAATATCAGAATTGATGGGTTCAAGCCTTCATCAGCTTCTGAATTTTCTTTTTATACCTGAAAATGACTAAGAGTCCCGGATTCAGGGAGTCCTTGTTCTGGGCCCTAAAACGGGCCATGCTTCTGTCCCTGAATTTTTCTCTGCCTGTTTCAAAGTGGTGGAGGTTGGTACTTAGTTGACTCATAGGGTTTTCAACCAAGGGCAAAGATGGGGCATGGGGGAGGAGGGTGGCGGCAGCAGGGGGGGGGAAACAAACACCCATCGTGTTCCTTTTGATACCTCAGAGCCAAGAGGGAACAGGAAGTCACGGTTTTGAAGAGAGCGCTGGAGGAGGAGACCCGAACCCATGAAGCTCAGGTCCAGGAGATGAGACAGAAGCACACCCAGGCTGTGGAAGAACTAGCAGAGCAGCTGGAGCAATTTAAGAGGGTAATTGCCACGCAAGGAAAACACGCAACACACACACACAAATTATATTTACAGTAGGAACCCCGTACCCACAGGGAAATAGTTGCAAGCCCCTCCACAGATGCTGAAAACAGCAGATAATGCTGAACACTCTATATAGCATGGTCTCTAGCTTTCTTTAATGGCCAGTTCTTCACTCTATATAGCATGGTCTCTAGCTTTCTCTAATGGCCAATTCTGGTAACTACATCGTGGAAATATGTATTTCTGGGACTTTTCTTTTAATATGTTTTAATACAGTCGTGCCCCGCTTAACGATTGCCCCGCATTACGACGAATCCGCTTTACGATGATGTTTTTACAATCGCTTTGGTGATCGCGAAAATGATGTTTTAAATGGTTTTTTTTCACTTTGCGAAGATCGGTTCCCTACTTTGGGAACTGATTTTTCGCATGATGACGATCAAAACAGCTGATCGTCGGGTTTTCAAAATGGCCGCCGGGTGCTCGAAATGGCTCCCCGCTGTGCTTAGGGACGGATTCCTCGCTATACAGGCACCGAAAATGGCCACTGTATGGAGGATCTTCGCTGGACGGTGAGTTTTTAGCCCATTTAATGCGTTTCAGTGGGTTTTTTATTTTCGCTTTACAACGTTTTCGCTCTACAGCAATTTCGCTGGAACGAATTAACGTCATTAAGCGAGGCACCACTGTATTGTCAAACTGCAGTTAAGTGAAACCACGGGGTCCTACTGTATCTTTTTCTTGCTAAAGGGGCTAATGGCCGGGTTGGTGACCTGCCGGCTCTTCTCTGTGCTTCCAGGCGAAAGCCAACCTGGAGAAGACCAAGCAGTCTCTGGAAAAGGACAACTCCGACCTGGGCAACGAGGTCCGATCGCTGAGCCAGGCCAAGCAGGAAGTGGAGCACAAGAAGAAGAAGCTGGAGGTGCAGCTGCAGGAGCTGCAGAGCAAGTTTGCGGATGGGGAACGCGTCCGGACGGAGCTCAGCGAGAAAGTCAGCAAGCTGCAGGTGACGTAGCAGAAAAGGGCCCCTGGAAAAAAACGACAGTGTCATTTCAGGCCTTCTGGCCCTTGTGTTTATAAAATAGATCTCCTTGCAATGGTCTTTTGATTTTAAGGTGCCTGGTTACATTTCTCACGGTGATTTAACCACGTTGTTTATTGCTTGGTATTGGTAACTCTACCACTGGATCAGTCAAGAAGAATATCATCTGAGTACTGGAAACATATTGCTGTCGGCCCCCGATGGTGTTTCAGGTGACTCGTCTTCTTCCTTTCCAGGTGGAAGTGGAAAACGTCACCGGGCTGCTGAACGAAGCGGAAAGCAAGGCCATCAAGCTGACCAAGGATGTGGCGACGCTGGGCTCTCAGCTGCAGGACACACAGGTGGGGTCTGGCATCACTAAGAACGTGGAATGGGCCATTAGGGAGGAAGGAACAAAGTCTATCCAGATGTCTGATTTTGGACCAAACCTCCCAGCATCCTGGCAGGCGGTTGTCGTCCAAAAACTCAAATCTGCCGTCTGATAGAACGAACAAGCCCGTTGACCTTCTGCCTTCTCATTTGTCTCCACGGCGCAGGAGCTTCTTCAGGAGGAGACGCGCCAGAAACTCAACTTGTCGACCAAGCTTCGCCAGGTGGAGGACGAGAAGAACAGCCTGCAGGAGCAGCTGGAGGAAGAGACAGAGGCGAAGCAGAACCTGGAGAGACACATCTCGACACTGAATGTGCAGGTAACAGCACGGGTGATCGAAACCGGGGAGAGTCGCGTCAGAGAGCAATGATCGCCTCTTGATCCGTGCACACCTTTCTGCAAGGTAGGGTATAAGGTCGGACCCGTTTCGCAGATGGGAGGTTGAGAGACAGGGAATCGGTCACCCAAGGCCATCATGCAGGGATCCCGAGGCAAAACAGGGATTTATTTAGGAATATCATGATCCCAATCTAGCAGTCTCTGCACTAGCTCGTAGGTCTGCGTACAGGTCCAGCTCACTGGACAGTAGTGTCAGTCAGAGATGCACGTGTGGGTCTTCTCCATGTCCTGACCCCTACTGACATCATGTTAAATTGTGGGAAGGAATGCCCATCCATCACCACGCTAGGGTCCTCCTATGTGGCTTCATGGTAGTAGAAGTAGGAGCAAGGAAGGTCCTAGCAGATCAGCAGGGACCAGAACTCACTGTTTAGGAGGTGAGGGGGGTTGCCTGCGTCAGCTGAACCTTTTCGGTGTCCTGATGGCTTATCGCGTTTCCGAATCCCAAACCCTAGCTCTCCGACTCCAAGAGGAAGCTGCAGGAGTACATCGGCACCATCGAAAGCATGGAGGAAGGGAAGAAGAAGTTCCAGAAGGAGATCGAAAGCCTGACGCAACAGTTTGAGGAGAAAGCCGCCTCGTACGACAAACTGGAAAAAACCAAGAACCGGCTGCAGCAGGAGCTGGATGACTTGGTGGTGGATCTGGACAACCAACGGCAGCTGGTCTCCAACTTGGAGAAGAAGCAGAAGAAGTTCGACCAGGCAAGGACTTAGCTCTCTGTTCCCGTGGCACGCTCCTTTTCCTGGAAGTAAGCCCCACGGAAGGCAACGGGACTTACTTCCAAGGAAGCATGCACAGCACTGTGTTGTAACTCTCTCGATGCAGCTGAGGGTCAAACCGGATGTCAAAGGAAGTGTGCATTTGCTGTTGTTAGCCTGTGCTTCCTCTTGGTAGGCAGTTTCCTCTGATATTAAGTGCTTCAACAGTCACACTTGCCCATTAAAGCCATGCTTCCCTTCCAAGGTTACCCATAAAGAAAGCAAAACACGTTAAATGCAAGATACAGAGGGGAGAGAAACCTGTGCTAGGACACACAGATGTCTTTCTCTGCCTTAAGAGAGCACTGCTTCTAAGCACAGACCAAGTGTATCATCTGCTTTGACCTTGAGATGGAGCAGAGGGTCTTCCCCTGCCATACAGGTCTGCGCAGATGTGTCTTGCAGAACTCGTTAAGACTCATCGGACTGAATGGGTTTAAATCCAGGCAGAGCTCTTTCTGGTCCTCATGGGTCTGAGCCCCCTGCGATTCCCTTGCAGATGTTGGCAGAGGAGAAGAACATATCTTCCAAATATGCCGAGGAAAGAGATCGCGCCGAGGCCGAAGCCCGGGAGAAGGAGACCAAGGCCCTCTCACTGGCCCGCGCGCTCGAAGAGGCCTTGGACGCCAAGGAGGAGCTCGAGAGAACCAACAAACTCTTGAAGGCAGAGATGGAAGACCTCGTGAGCTCCAAGGACGACGTCGGGAAGAACGTAAGCCTCTCCCGCCCGTTCCAAAGCGGCGTCACCTACAGGCAGACTAGGATTGTAGCTTTAAAAAACCAAAATAGAACTTCCAGTTGATCCTGTAGGCGTGCCCAGCTATGCCACTCATTGTAGCTTTAAAAAACCAAAATAGAACTGCCAGTTGATCCTGTAGCTCTGCCACTAGTCTTCCATGTAAAAGGGTCCCTCCAGTTTCTGAATGAGTTCCATTCATCATCATATTTGTTCGATTATAATAGTAATTAACTTGCTAATTATAGTATTTATATCCTGCCCCAAATCAGAAGGGACGGGGATGAACTGGGGTCCCGTAAGCTTAGGCAAAGGTCTGCTGCGGTGGTGGTAAAATTGGCAACTCCCCGAGGGTGCCTGATGCACGCCACACCGGATTTCTGATGAATTTCTGCTGCAGGCATCCAGTTCGGTTTCCATCTGCCTTCCTCATCCCCTTTTTCTTTTAACCTCCACTGGGAAAGGTTCACGACTTGGAGAAGTCCAAGCGGGCTTTGGAGCAGCAGGTGGAGGAGATGAAGACACAGCTGGAAGAACTGGAGGACGAGCTCCAGGCGACGGAGGACGCCAAGCTGCGGCTGGAGGTCAACATGCAGGCCCTGAAGGGTCAGTTCGAGCGAGACCTGCAAGCCCGGGACGAGCAGAACGAGGAGAAGCGGCGGCAGCTGCAGAAGCAGGTGAAGAAGAAATCGTCCTGAGGGTTTTTTTTTACTGGGGAATTTTATCAACACTTGAGGAAAAGGGAAATGTTCCCCCCCCCAAAAAAAGAAAATCATTGAGAAGCATCTTTACGGGGAAACTTTTCTGAATTCCTTTCCTTTCTTTCCTTCCTGCCGGATCAGCTCCACGAGATGGAGGTGGAACTGGAAGACGAGCGCAAGCAGCGAGGGGTGGCCGCGGCCGCCAAGAAGAAGCTGGAGGTGGACCTCAAGGACTTGGAAGGCCAGCTGGATTCGGCCAACAAAGGCCGGGACGAAGCGATCAAGCAGCTGCGGAAACTTCAGGTCAGCAAAAAAAAAGAGAGATGATGATGATGATGATGATGAAGAGGGAGGCCCTTGCCTGTATCCTGAAGTCAAGGTGGGAGGGGGCAAAGGGCTGGTGGTTCATGGTGGCATCCATCATGTCCATTTTGCTGTATAGGCAGTGGTTCCCAACCTTGGGTCCCCAGATGCTCTCAAACTACACCTCCCAAAAGCCTTCCCCACCAGCTGTGCTGGCCAGGATTTCTGGGAGTTGTAGTCCACAAACATCTGGGGACCTAAGGTTGGGAACTCTTGCTCAACCGTAGGGTGGGGGTTCAGAAGATCATTTAAACCTTGACACGGTCCGCCCTGTCTCCAACAATTTGGAGTGAAAAAGGGGAACTTCCAGCTTCCAGAATTCTATCTCTAGCTTGTGTGGGGATTTTTTTGGGGGGGGGAACGCTTTGTGGCTCTCAAATGGCCCTCAACATCATTTTATGGCAATGGTGCAGAAAACAGCTTTTTAAAAGAAAGTGCCCGTGTATTTTTCAGCCAATAGGATGGGAACACGACAGGAAAAGCCCAGGGGGAGCACGTAAGACATGCTCCCCACCTGCGCTCTGCACACGTGCAGGCGTTTCCCCATGAAACTCAAAAAAGGCCTCTGTTTCTTGTGCCCCGTTCCCCGGCCAGTCCTGAATTCCTTGGGCCTCTTCTGAGGGTTCAGGGAGCTGGCTGAAGAACAAGAGTGGGAGGGCCACCAGTCCTCCCGCATGCCCCCCATCTCCGTCTGAATGCCCATCTCTCTGAACCCACACACACAGGCTCAGATGAAGGACTTCCAGCGGGAGTTGGATGATGCCCGAGCTGCCCGGGAGGAAGTCTTTGCCACGGCCCGAGAAAACGAGAAGAAAGCCAAGAATTTGGAAGCGGAGCTGATGCAGCTGCAGGAGGTAAAGGAGACCAGAGAGGCTGGCCTGTCATCCCGGGGTCTCTTTTCCAGGGGAAGGGGCGGTGATGAAGGGCCCTTGGCCCGTGTGGCTCTCCTCCTCGGTTCCCTGCTCTTGGTCGGCCGCAAGAGAGCAGGCCTGGCTGCCTAAAGGGACTCTCTTGGTGCTTCCAGAAGGGTTCCTTCCCAGCCTTGCTGGGGATCCTGTGCTGATTCGCACAGGCATCTCCATCCCCCCCCCGGTGGAAACCGAGCCGTGGCTTCCCCTTGCCAAGGAGGACCATGCGGCCCCCTCCGGGCCGTCTCCTCTCCGAGTGGGAAGCGAATCCATGCACTCCGCCAATGTTCGTGTCACGTGGGGGTGTCAGGGTGGGGAGGCTGGCAAAAAGAGGGGCCCGTTTGTGTGTGTGTGAGAGAGAGAGAAAAGGAAGGAGAGCCGCTTCATCTCACAGCAGCCGGCTGAGGTGTGACGACAGCCTCCTTGTTCGGCAGGACTTGGCGGCTGCGGAACGGGCTCGGAAGCAAGCCGAGCAGGAGAAGGACGACCTGGCTGAAGAGCTGGCCAGCGCCGCTTCCGGGAGGTAATCCTTTACCGAAGGGGTGGGAAGGCTCGGATCCAGTCTGGCCCTCTTGGGAGTCCTGACGGGGGTCTCTCCTAGATGTACCCGGATAAGGGCAACCCCCTCCACCATATCACTAGGGTGTGAGCTCCCTTCTCCAAAAGGTTGCAAGGCCTGTTCTGAGACTGTGTCACTGGCAGCGAAAGCTTTGCCATAGGATAGGTCCCCCTCTTGGCTTCTGCCTTGGTTTCTGGTCCGGTCGCCACCTTGCGCCGAAGACGACTGGATAGGAGGTGATTTATTCCAAGGCCGTTCAAACGCTAAGGCTTCCGAGATCTCGCGTGGCATTGCGTGGAGTCCACAAAATGGAAGATCAGGGCAGAAACAAGAGTATCTCTGAGCATGTGCTTATCCCAGGAGGTTATTCTCAGAACACACACCCCCCCCCATGGGCACTGGCGCACGACAGCAAGGGGTCGGGGTGGCCCTGGGATTTCGCCATTCGCTTCTGTCCCCGAACGGGGATTCTTTGGGTGCCGAGGAGCACATTTTAGGGAGAAAGCGTCACCCACCCCCCGGTTGAGTTCCCGTTCCTCGGAAGCAAAATGGAGAGAAATAGATGAAGGCAGCGGCAGGTGAACCACTGTGTGCTTTCCCACCTTGCCACGCCATAGGACGAGCCTCCAGGATGAGAAGCGGCGGTTAGAAGCGAGAATCTCCCAAATGGAGGAGGAGCTGGAAGAGGAGCAGAGCAACATGGAAGCCATGAGCGAGCGCTTCCGGAAGGCCGTCCAGCAGGTACGTGGACTCCCTTGTTGGTGTTAACGAGGGGAAGAGCCGAGGACCCCCGCCACCTGTTCATCGCAGCAAGAGCTCAGAATGTTTTACTTTTTTGGACTTAACAGTTTGAAGAATCCTCCGGGGGTCCTTGATTCAGGGGATTTGAGGATCTGTAGTCCAAAAAGCAAGGCTGTGTTTCCAAAGTCCAGCTGCAGCTTACCAGATCTGCCCCCTTCCTGCCCTGAAGATATATCAAGATATACAGTAGATATGGAGACATATATTTGAAGGGTGTTCCCTCTCTCTCACACACACACCGTGCTGTTTTCAGGCGGAGCAGGCCGGCAACGAGCTGGCGACAGAGCGGGCCGCGGCACAAAAGAACGAGAGCGCCCGCCAGCAGCTGGAGCGGCAGAACAAGGAGCTGAAGTCGAAGCTGCAGGAGATGGAGGGGGCCGTGAAGTCCAAGTTCAAAGCCACCATCACCGCCTTGGAAGCCAAGATTGCCCAGCTAGAAGAACAACTGGAGCAAGAATCCAGGTACCCGGGGGACCAGCAGGCGAGGCGTTGAGGCAGGTCCCGAGGCAGGAGGGGTTCTGCCCCTCACGCCCCAGGGCCCAGAAATGGGCCAAGAGCCACGTGCCTTCCCAATGATGATAATAATAAGGGAGCCCCTTTATGCCAAACTGGCAGGATTTTGACTTCTACAGGCCTGGGGCGCTCTACGGTCTAGGGCTGAGCTTCTGAGCAGCTGATTGGAAAGGGTTGCCATGTTTGTGGACAGCAGGTGCTGGCTTCTGACCCCGAGGGTGAGCCTTACAGTGGAGGTTTAGTGGAGCTGAACCTTGTCTGGGCGTGTGTCGTGGTAATTTTGCGTAGAATTTAAAACCTGTACGTGAAAATACAGAGAACTTACTTTTTGAGAGTTTCATGGACCTCTAAAATAGTTTTGCCGGGAGGGGGGGGACAAGGGATCTGACTATATTTAAGCTTCTTCGCTGTTCTTCTATTTGTGTTCCAGCCGGGGGTCATAGGGACTAGCACCTTTTAACCTTTTGATTTTAAAAAGTTCCGATGCGGTTCCCTCTGCAGAGAAAAGCAAACGGCAGCCAAGGTGCTCCGGCAGAAAGACAAGAAGCTCAAGGAGGTTCTGCTGCAGGTGGAGGACGAGAGGAAGCAAGCCGAGCAATACAAAGACCAGGTGAGGCGGAGTGAAATGGAAGCAGGCCATCAAGAGAAGCTTAATTTGAATTGGAAGCCCTGTTTTGCTAAGAGGGGGTGGGGAGGATTGCTTTAATAGCTTTAATACTACCTTGTTTTTTTGATTACACGCCCCAAGCCATTAGCCAAGTTCAGGAAAAAACTTCTTAACTGTTAGAGCAGTACGAACCCATGACCTCAGGGGGAGGCGGCGAGCGCTCCAGCCCTGGAGGCCTTCAGGAGACCATGGGACCACCGTCTGTCAGGCCTGCTTTGATTTGGAGTCCTGCATGGAGCAGGGGGTTGGACTGGATGGCCTTCGAGGGCCCCTTCCGGCCACGATCCTGTGATTCCAATTACAAATTTGTTCACCCAATGGCAAACCGTTGTTTTGCACTAGATTTTATTGACTCACTCAGTCAAACACTGTGCCGTGCAATAAGGTGTCAAAGAAATCTACGTTCTGCTTAACAAGGACTGTAATATTGATGCAGAGTTTATAAAATGGGGATAGAAGAGGAGGAGATGAAGAGGTGGAAATATACTTAAAGAAATCCCATGGGCAGAAAGAACGGGTGTCTGCGTGTGTGTGGGGGGTTTACTGGGGAATTAAGCTTGGGGTCCTGAGCCCCCCCTCAGCTGTGCGACTCTCTGGGGGGCTCATCCCATTGGCTTCCACCCCAACCTCGCACCCTCTCCCTCCCTCCAGGCGGACAAGGTGAACGCCCGGGTGAAGCAGCTGAAGAGGCAGCTGGAAGAGGCCGAAGAGGAGTCGCAGCGCGTCAATGCCAGTCGCCGGAAGCTGCAGCGGGAGCTGGAGGAGGCCAACGAGAGCAACGCGGCCATGAGCCGGGAGGTGACCACCCTGAAGAGCAAACTCAGGTGGGTGCTGCCCACCGACGGCAGGCCGCTTTCCCTTTCGGAGAAGGGCGCAACCCTTCTGGAAAGGCCAGTCAAGGCAGCTGGCTGGCCAGATGGCTCGGCGACGCGTCCAGGAAACGCCACGTCCAGGCAGGACGAGAGATGGGTGGTCCTTGACTTTTCCCGAGCTCCTTCCCTGGCTTCCCATTTAAATTTCCTCCATGCTGGGATGGAATTTCGAGGCACAGGAGAAGAGCCTCGTAGGGCCTCCCTCTCTGCTTCCCTTAATTTCCCGGGATGTTTCTCTTTCTTTCAGGGGGAATCCAGAACCTTCACAATGACGGCGCAGGTACCACGCCTTCGACTTTGCAGTCTGCTTGTTATCTCTTTTTTTTTAAAAAAAGAAAAAACCAAACTTTGGTTCCTTCTTTTGTCCTAAATGTATCCATGCGACATTTCTGCAAACTCTGGAGGCTTGGATATCTTGGGGGGTCAACATCTTTCCAAAAGAGACAAATATTACAGATTGGGCCTTACGAATCTCCCACCTTGCTTTGCCTTTTCTCTTGACACTGTATGCTTACAAATCGGTCTTCTCCAGCTTCCCCACTTTCTTGTATTTTTCATCTATTTTCCCACAAACTCCCCCCCCCCAGTTTTTTTAATCCAAGATAATCCATCACGTTTAAGATCCCCCGCCTTTGCAAACCACAAAAGTAGAAGACGCTGCATGCAGTAATGCATGGCACAAATTCTGCACCGCTGAGAGAGGAGCGCAACATGAGAAAACGTGCCCTTTGTGGCTCGAGAGCTGATGGCTACAAGTGACAGGCAGAAAAAGTTACTTTTGGACTACAATATCCAGAATCCCCAAGAGCAGTCATGGTACTTTAGAGGAGTCTCAAAACTGAATTCCAGAAACGAGATTCTTTTTTTCCCTCTCTGCTGAAAGCAAGGTATTATGGCCTATATGTGTTTGGCACTGAAATAAACACACCATTCTGCCTTAAGGACTAGAAAGGGAAACACCCCCCCTTTTTTTTTTGAAACAGAAAAAAGAGAGGAATTTCCTAGCTGCCGAAGACTGTCCTGCCTGTCCCTGAACAATTGCATCAATTTGCAGTCACAAGAACACTGGACTCTGGTTTGGCAAACCCAGTCATGCTCACGAATAACACAAGAGCTTGCTAGGGTGCACTCAGCTTTTCTCCCTTCCATCAGCCACGTCTAAATAATAATAATAATGATCCTCTCTGAAGCAGCTGGTCCGTTTACCGTTCTGTAATATTTGTAGGTTCTCTTTTGCAGGCAAAAAGAAATGATTGGCCACCTGTTCAGCTTGGCTGTTGTGACACATAGATATGTCTCTATATATAATTTGACAGCCTGCTTTCTTGCCTGAGGCCCTGCGTTTAACCCTTTTTTTCCAAGCGCCTTTCCTCTTTCCAGACTAAGGTGTTCACAAGCATTACCTTCGCCTTTTTTTTCTGATTTAACTTCAGCTCTGCACTTTGCACCACTCACAGAAAAGCACCCTCTCCAACGGGGAAGAGGCTACCCAGAGACTTAACAAGTAAAATGCCTTTATCTGTATGGCTGACCAATTTTTTTTCCCTCCCCGTCTTTTGACTGCAGGCGGGGGAACGAGCCAGCCTCTTTTGCCCCCTCCCGCCGATCTGGGGGCGGTGGGCGGCGCACCATCGAAAATGCTGCCGAAGGGTCCGAAGAAGAAGCGGACGCGCGGGACGGAGACTTCAACGGAACCAAAGGCAGCGAATAATGTTTTCGAAGGCCACGCTTGCTGATCTAAACACTGCAGCAATGAATGCGAGAAAGGGGGGGCAGCGTTTACTGTTTGGCACTCGCTTTAATTCCGAAACCACTTTCGCCCACCTTACGGCTTCTGATCAGAACACAGCTGCCCTTTATGCCCGTGTAAGCTCTTACTCTCTGAGATGAAGAAGTGGCCTTTGCTTTATTGTACTTTACGGAGGAATGCAACGTTTATGGTGTGACCAAAGCCCTGGACCCGATTCAGCAGGATGCTTTCTGCTTGGCTGGTGGCTCTTCCCCCCGATCTCGGCTGCCATTTCAACTCCACCCTGTCGTACCTCCTCACATCATCTCTGGATACCTGCACCCCAAACTCTCCACCGTACACAAGGTTCAAGCGCCTTTCTTAGCCACTTCCGTGTTTCCCATTTTTTTGCCCTCCCGCCCAAAAAATAAAGTCAGCTCCTGTTGTGGTTTTAGAGATAAATTTTGTGCTTGACAACACACTAATAAAAATTGATTAAAATCCCTGGGGCTTTGGTGGTCTTGTCTGCGATAACGCGAGATCCCTGGTTTCCTAGCCTGCAGCAAAAAAACTTCAGAACATTCAAGGTCTTGTCTTATCCACACAGAGGACTAGCACCTTTGCTTCGTCCAGAACCGTAGGCACAGGAAGCCAAATTCCATGATCTTGCCATCACATAGGAAGAATTCACCATCTTTTGACCGATTTTTCCTCACTTGACTTCAATAGTTGGGGACTCTTGATTGAACACTCAACTGTACAGCCCACAAAAATGGCCTCTTTCACCCCAAATGGCCACACGGCTCTCTCCAGAGAAGACGGCGCATGTTCAAACCCCGCGACCAACGGTCCTGCTCCCCCTCAGGGGTGGAAGCGGCCATCCTTCTTCAAACCCCGCGACCAACGGTCCTGCTCCTCGCAGGGGTGGAAGAAGCCATACTTGGGCTCCAAGGCTGCCGGGAAGGCATGGCCGGTTGTGTGTCGGAAGCGCTGAATCCCATCGAGTCACGCTGGTTCAAAGTCAGCTGTCTCTTTATTGCCTTCAAGTGCTGTTGTGCGCCGCCAGAACGACAACTCCCGTCACCCCCCAGGCGGTGCGGCAGCTGCCAGGGGAAGATGGGAGGTGTTGGGAGTGCCACACACCTGGAAAACACCTGCTGGCCGCTTGTGTAGCTGTCCACCAAGATCAAAACCTGGCGCCCATCCATTCCTCATAAACAGCAGAAGGGAGTGAAAAACGGCCCCAATGGGCCAACACTCCGCTTCACTCTTCTGCAGCCGACGCCAGCATCTCCAGAGATGCACCCCCACCCTCTCTGTAGCACAAAACCCTCCTTAACAAAATCCTTAAGAGACCCAAAGAGTTACATGAGACAAGCGAAACCCACACCAGGAAGCACGGAGAGGGTCCGTAGGGCAGGCGCTTTTACAAATGCGGGAGTTTTCCCCCCATGGACGGCTTTCAGGGAACGTGCTGGTTCCTAACCACCGTCGCCCAGGAGAGAAGAGACAGGTGCGAGGCTTCGCTCCTAAGGCACCGAGCGAGAAAGGGCTGGGCAGGCGAGGCGGCTCGGCTCTTCCCCCAGGAGTCAAAGCAAAACGGGCACCGCCAGGACGTTCTGGTTCACGTGACATCACGGCCAAATATCGCTATCCACAAAACGCCACGCTGGGCCCCTCTGCCCCCCCCAATCTTCATGTCCCTTGGGCCTTTTTCTCTAGGCAGCGGCTTTTGCTCCACCAGCTGTGTTTTTCAGCTTAACTCCGGCCTCAGCGGTTCTGGATCTGCCCCTCCAGGTTCACTCGGGTATTACGTGGCAAAACCTCTTCTCTCCTGCTGTCCCTCCTCGCTGGCACGGTGTGCTGGACTGAACAACGGTCGTTCTATAGCCCAGCATCCCCAGGAAGTAGGGGGGAGACCAAAGCCAGTCCGACGGGATGGCGCAGAGTCCCTCGGCCCCTCGTACAGCTGCCGTTCCACGGTCCTCTTCTCTCCCACCATCCTCTCTTCATCCCAGGTGAGCAGGAGTGTTAGTAGTCTGTTAAAAACGGGGACAAAGGAACGGATTCCCACGCAGAGGAAAACATCAGAGAAGCATCTGGACCACCCCTTGTGGGGGAAGGCCCACCGACCCTGCGAGGCTGGACGGCCGCATCCCTAACTCCAGCCGCTTTGGCAACCTGCAGAGAGAGAGAGAAATGAAAAGTCAGCAGACTCACAAGCCGTTTAGAGTTAGGATGATGTGAAGCAGTCAAACAAGTAGAGACCAGAACATGAGAAGGGATCCTCGGGTCTATCCAACCCTCTTAGGTCTCACCGTTTTGAAGAAAAGGACCAATCAAACAGGGAAAGCGTTTGCCTGCCATACCAGTGGAAGGGGTGTCAAGATGCTCTTATCTGCCCCTTCTTACCCCACTGGTAAGAAAAGTATAAATTCCTTTTGCTGCTTCTAACCAAACAAGGCCCACGATGCCCTCTATAGGTTTCTGCCTTTATTGGCCTCCTCCAGGACTGGGGCACCGCGAAGCCAACGTCGCTGGAAGAAAAGAGGCATGCCAGAGAAGTTATTCAAGCTCGGGAAGGGAAAAATACCCTTCACAGGAATCTTTCATGATGTAACACACAAAACATGTTCCGAGAGAGAGGCCAGGCCCTGTTATGAGCCAGTTCCTTCTCTCATCTCCTGGCACCTCGAGTGAGTGAGTGAGTGAGTGAGTAAGGAATTTTGGCCCCTGGCATAAACAGGGCGTGCCCAAGTGTGGACGCAGCCTGGTCCCGAGGCTTGCAATGAGTTATGCAAGGGGCAAACACGCTTAAGTTCATTTATCCTGCTCCCAGATTCTCAAGAGTCCCAACTCAGAATCGCCCACAGTAGACCCCCCACCCCGCTGGCCCCCAGTTGTATAACCTGGGGTGGGGGGGGGAGAGAACTGCTAGAAATCATCTAAAGCGAAGAGAACAGCACTCCCGCCAGCCCCAGACGAGAGTGGCGTAGGGATGATAGGAGATGCCGTCATCTTCCGGAGGGCCACAGCTTCTCTACCCCACGACATAAAGCTTGGAAAAGTTATGGTTCCAGATGCGCACTCCCGCCAGCCCCAGACAAGAGAGGCGTAGGGATGACAGGAGATGCCGTCATCTTCTGGAGGGCCACAGCTTCTCTACCCCATGACATAAAGTTTGGAAAAGTTATGGTTCCAGATGTGAGGTTTCAGGAACTGCAGTGGGAAAGCAAAAGCGACTTTTTCTCTCTCTGCCTCGGCTTATTCTCTTCAAACCCCTTTCCCGAAGAAGTCGGCCAAGCCTTGGGATCCCCGATTGCTTGCTTGCTGGCCTCTTCTTTTGCTTCCTTCCCTTGATTCCTAGTTCAGTTTTAAAAGTCCTTTGGGGTAAGAGGCGGTCTTAGGCAGGAGCAAGCATTATGTACCCCTCCAGAAATTTGGGAGTATATTCTCTTCCCCCCCCCCAATCAAAGCTAGGCAGATCAGAGATTTTGGAAACGGAGGTCCAGAAGGAGGGCTCAGGTTCTGCTTGACAATAATATTAAAAAAGGCAAATATTCTATTTTCTCTGCCAGATCTCCCTGCTGGCCCGACCGTGCTTGCTTTTCCTCTGTGCTCTGCAACCCAGTTGTGACCCAGTACAAGTTTCTAGTCCCTGCTGAATGAAGCAGGGTGCCCAGACTCACCCTTGGGAAATGCAGGGACCGCTCAGCCGCCTCTCAAAAGCCTCTCTGCCCAAACAGGCTGGGTATGGAGCTTGGTCATAGACGAAGTTTCGGCATGAGGCTAATTTGGATTCCAGGGCCTAGAAGCAAGGGGTGGAGAGAGAGGAGAGAGAGAGAGAAAGAAAGGAACGAGAGAAGGAACGAGAGAAGGAAAGAGAGAAGGAAAGAGAAAGAGAGAAAGAGAGAAAGAGAGAAAGAAAGAAAGAATTCTTTTAGTTCAAAATCCTGCGGTAAGAAAGACAGTTCCTTTTTTTTAAAGTCTCGGGCTGCAGAGCCAGAGGTTGAGAGTTTGTTCATTCATTCATTCATTCATTCATTAAGAAAGACAGTTCCTTTTTTTTAAAGTCTTGGGCTGCAGACCCAGAGGTTGAGAGTTTGTTTATTCATTCATTCATTCATTCATTCATTCATTCATTCATTCATTGCATTTATACCTTGCCCATCTAGTCAACTGATTATTCTGGGCGGCTTCCAACACATATAATAATATGAAATATAACAACATTTAAACATCAGTAATAGAGTTATTCAAGACGGAAAAAATAGGAAAAATAAATGAATAAATCTAGAGGCCTGCCTCAACATCCAAGTTTTCAATTGGTTTTTAAAGATGCCCAGCGAAGGGGCCGCACGGATCTTTGGAGGGAGATTATTCAAGAGTTCGATTCCCCCCCCCCCAGTGCCTCCTTAGCAAGGTCTGGACGCGGTGATCTGAAGGGTCCCTTCGAGCTCTGCAGTTCTGAGATTACATTTTGATAATCATTTTCGCCTTGTTCCGATTGTTGTATTGTTTTAATTTGGGTCTGTGACCATATAATAAAGAAAGCGGTTATTTTATCGTATCTTATTAAGTGGGATCACTCACCCCAACCTTCCGGAGAAGGTCTCCCACAATGTTGAGCGCCGAAATTCGGGCTGCGGGCGTAAGCGGGGTTCCACAGTAGCTGTCCTCAAAACCTTTAGGAAAAAAATATATATATATATATAAAACTATATTTTGCTTATACCATATAAATCCATAGCAAACACCACGTACTTTCTACCAGCAGAAAAATAAGTACAATTTCACACACGACGAATATTCACTTTGACTTTTTGTACGCATTCTAAGCATACCGGCCCTCCGGGAACAGCCTTGGAAGTATGTGAAACCTCAAGAGCTGTTCCATCTTCCTGATGCATTTGCAACTCCCTCTTAAAAAGAGATCAAGCTTTTAAAAAAAATAACGGCATAGACAGTAGCAGTTGACGATTCATAGCAAACCACCATTTCTGTTTGATTTCTTCTCTATCTCCAGCATCCCCGCCCAAGGCCACCAACTTACACCCTGCCTCGTTAGAGTTAATTAGTCCACACTCAAGTGAACTGAAAGGCATGGCACTGCACCTTCTTCCACTTCCCACAAGGGGGAGGCGTCAGTTTAAACACCCTTGCTGTTAAGCAGGGCTCTGATGGAAAGGAAACAACAACCCCAGTAGAATGCGAAGAGCAGGGGGGGGGAGAGAAAAAACTTAAAATAACCCCCCCTCTCTCTCACCCCTTCTGGCTGTTCCTGGGGTGCTCCTCCCAAGCCCAGACCCCCAGTAGGTGGCGGGTGTCGAAGACGCAGAAAAGGTGGCTTGTACGGCTGTATCCGCACGTTCGGTTTCCGGCGGAGCTTCGACCGCTGCCTTCGGTTTCTCTTGTTTCTGTTGCACGGCCAGTTCTTGACGCAAATCTGGGGGGGAGGAAACAAAACCCCGAAGGGAGCGTGTGAGACTGATACGGCCTTTTCCTCCCCACCAAAGCCGTCTCCCTTCCGCGAGTGTTTTAAATGGCTCATTAATCCAGGTCACGCCACCTGCAGCATGAAATGGGAGGGTGGGGGAAAAGATGGGCGCCACGGATCCCGATCGGACGCCGGCCACCCGCCCTCCGGCCCCACCTCGGGCTTCGTCCTTCAGACGCTGCACCGACACCAGCAGGTTCTCCTTCTCGTCCAGCTCGCTCTCCAGGAAGGCGTTCCTCTCGATGGCCTGGTTCAGCCGCTGCTCAAAATCTTCCAGAGACATGATGGTGGCCCTGCGGGGAAAAGGACCAGGACCGTTAGCGAGAATCCGAGGTCCCTTAGCAGACTACAGATCCCATGATCCCCTCGGACAGAGCCGCAGCTGCTCGAGCCGGGATCAAACAGGTAGAACGGGGTAGCACAGACCCTTCTTTCATCCAAGGAGAAAAGCAGAACAAACTCAACAGGAGAGCCCCCCCCCCTTTTAAGGTCCCTGGAGTATTGGAAACGGAAGAAGGGGGATCTCCAACCTCATCCATCCTCCGAACCTAGACTCGGGAATTTCCTTCTTACGGCGGCCAAGCAGAAAAGCTTGGCTCCCGTCGGGGGAGGCCCCGATCTAGGCTTGGACGTACCTCTTTGCTCTTTCCAAGTCGTCGTTGGCCTGTTCGAGCTCCCGGATGTATTTCTGCAGCTGGTCCTTGACGGCTTTCGTTCGGGCCAGTTCCTCCTCCAGAGCCGAGATCTGCTGGTGCCCTTCCGAGTGATGGGCCGAGATCTTCTCCTGATCCAAAGAGGCGGGGAAGGGGAAAAAAGAACAGAAGTCTCAGCCCATAGTCCCGCAAACATGATTTCCCGGCCCTGAGCCATTGGAATTCTCTCTCTCTCTCTCTCTCTCTCTCTCTCAGGCTGCCTACCTCACAAGGTCGCTGTGAGGGTGAACTGCAGAAAAGGAGCATCGGGATGCCACTTTGAGCCCATTAGAGGAAAAAGCAGGATCCAGCCACTTTGGGCGCTTCCCAAGACCATCGAGAAGGCGCCCCTGTGTTCAAAAGACGCACTCCGGACCACACCACAAAGCCCAGCTCAGTTTATTGGCAGAGGTCGTGAATTGGGCCACCAGCTTGAGAAGAGCGGCCGGATGGGGGCCCAACGTCCTCACCGGAGGGGGGGCTTTCCTAGCCTCGCTCCAGCCCGTGACTCACTCAAAGGACGCTTCCAAAGCCTGACCCACTGACCCGAACCCGGCTCTCCTCGCTGCATTGCAGCTTGCCGGGGCTTCCCCCCCCCCAATTACAACCGCCAGGCGACCAGCAGGGGGGCCCATCAATAGGGCCTCTGTCTTCGCCTTCGCGGCCGGCTGCCCCTGTGCGTTGGGGACTTGCGCCAGGGAACGAATGGGCCGATTGTCCACAGTGCTCGGCAACACAAAAGCAAGGGAATAACCATTGATCTCCCTTGTTTTCCTTTGCTTTCAAGCAATATATTTACTCCCTTCTTGTTGATTTAAAATGTTTGTATAAACCGCTTTTCTCCCACTGGATCCGAGAAAGGATCAAAAGAAACGAAGTTAAAAGCTAAAACAATAAACCATGACTATATTAGAAAAGGATGTTTTTAATATTGTATTTCGGGTAGACCCCACACCCTACGACATCCCAGATAAACTCCTCCCCCTCCCGCATCCCTCCTCACATTAACGGACTCGATCTCCATCCGCAGGCGGTTGTTGTCTGCAAGGAGGTCTCGATTCCGTGTCTCCACCTGTTGCAGCTGCATCTCCAGCTCAGCTTCGTATTCCCGGCTGCCTTCCTGGAATTCCCGCAGTTCGTCCTGGGCGTTCTCGGCGCTGCGGGAGCAAAAGCAGGCAGAGAATCAGGACCGCTAAAATCAGAACGCTCGCGGACGGTGCTTCTGGGGTCCCCGAAAGTGGCCTTTCCACAATCGGCCAAATCGCAAACCCTGGAAGGCAACACAGGGAGGTTCGAAGCCCATCGAGACGCCCACACGCTTTACCATTCTTTATATTTGGCGGCCAGCTCCTTCCAGTAGCGCCGCTCTTCTTCCACTGAGCCAAACTGGTTCTCCTCTGCATCGTTCATCGTGGAACCCCTTTTAGCTCCGTTTCCTAGGGGGGAAAGGAGATCAATCACGTCGGGGGAAACCCTCTTGTCTCTACAGCCTGTGGCTTCTTCTTTTAAACCCCAGTTTTAGATACAGACCCAAAAATATATTTTAAAAAAAAACACCACAACTGGCAGGCCCAGAAATGTTACACTCGGGTCCCCAACAATCCTGTGGATGACAAAAAAAGGTATAAAGAAGCCCACTGCAGCACTCAACACATGCTCAGGAGATCTGCTCCCCCTTGTGATGTAAAATATCAGAAACTCCTGGACACCAATTGTTCCACTTCCCTTGAAGAAGGGTTTAAAATGTTGTCAAGCCAGGTTTTTAAAACAAACGACATCTTAAGATGATGCAGGCACAGGACTAAGCCTATACAAGCCAGGATGGTGGATGATGTTTCGAGCGCCCAGTGGGAAATCTTTCCCACCTACTAGCTCTCCAGTCTTAACTCGGCAGGCAATAAACGCGGCCGCCATGCGGCTCACCCAAATGACACCCGTCCAGTTCTGCCTTCTTGCCAGGCATCCAGAGCGACCCAGATACCTCTGTGACGTGTCTGGGCTCATGAGGACTACAGACCTGTTCACAGCTTTTAAAAAAAACAAAACAAAGGCTGGCAAATGCAAACACCAAGCCCAGTAACAGCACAAAGAACAGGGGAGCCGAATCAAGTCCCCCTGCTTTGAATCTGACTAGACACTCCATTTCTCTTTAGGTGTGCAGCCGGTCCTTGACGGCTTCGCTTCGGGCCAGTTCCTCCTCCAGAGCCGAGACCTGCTGGTACCCTTCCGCGTTGCTTTTTGGCAACAAGGAAAGAACCGGTTATTTTGATTCCAAGCGGAACAGCCACCCAGCCAGCAAATGGACAACGTTCTTCCTGGGTGTTATATGTCCCCCCCCCAAAAAAACCCACACACAACTTATTTTGCAGCTGCCACCTTCATCCGAGCCCTGTTCCCCCAGCCAAAAAACATTTTAAAAAACCCCTCCAAAAATCCTCCTGGGGAAACAACACCAACAACTTAAGGACCGTTGTTTCTCTGTGTCCTGGCACAGTGATTTTAATTAGGTTGTGGGTCCACATTGAGCTGTGAAACTCACCCGACAGCCTTGGGCCACGTTCCCCTCTCTCGGGCCTACTTCCCAAGGCTGTCGTGAAGTTAAGACGGCAGAAGGAAAGCTTTGTATGCTATCATCATCATCATCATGTTAGGGACCCCTCTGGATCATGGACTCCAGCCCCAGTCATGGAGGCGCCGTGGAAGATTCGAACTCCCAACCTCTGGCTCCACAACCCGATGCCTTCAACCACTGAGCTATTTGGCAGTTCCAGCCCTCTCGTGAGCTCACTAGACGAACGGCGTGGTGGAAATGTTCACAACCACAAACTCATGACCATAAAGTGCCTGAATCCACCTTCTGGCCCGTTTTTTTCTTCTGCGGGAATTTTTATTGGTTGATTCGAATCCTTGACCCGGGCTTGTTGGTGCCAAACTTTTTTTAAAGGGGGGGGGAGATAAAGGGGACATTTGCAAGTCAAAGCCAGTGGGGGCCGAGTACTGGGGGGCTGCATGAAAGGAGCCTGAAAGAGGCCAAGCCCCGGGATAAGAACGAAGAGCCTCCAAGACCAGGCAGAGAAGCAGTTGGGGTTTCAGACCTGCCCCCCCCCACACTTCCACCGTGGGTCCAAGAAGCCTGTGGAGGCGCCTGCATTATCTGCCCCTCCCCAAAGAGGGGGGAAGTCGAACGGAAGACGATTCAAGGCAAAGCGGAGACAGAAAACAGACCCACAACAAACACTGCCAGGCCATTCGAGAGGCAAAACCAAATTACAAAACTCGGATTGGCTTTTGAGCTACAGAGTTGCCGTGTTTTGCACTGGAGAAATAACATTGACTGCAGTTTCAAAACAAACCAACAACTGTTTCACTTTGCATGAAATGTGAGCCTTGTTTGTCCTACATTTTTTAAAATTTTATTTATTTATTAAACTTATATGCCACCCATTCAGATATAGTCTACTCTGGGCAGCTCACAAACACAGAGTAAAAACAGTTAATAAATATTGACAATTTTCAACATTTATACAAAAGACAATAGTTAAAAACAGAAAAAAGAAGAGGTAAGTTAAGGAAAGCCCGGAGGGAAGGCCTGTCTATATAACCAGGTCTTGAGTTGGGTTTTAAAAATGCCCAGCAAGGGAGCCAAATGGATCTCCGGGGGGGGGGGGGGGGGGTTCCAGAGACATCAAAATACTATTTATGCCCACCCTAACAGAAAAACAAATAACAATGATGCTTTTTTCTCCACTTTCCCTTTTTTGGGGTGG